AAAACAAGGTTTAATCCGGAGGAAGGCGGAGGAGAGAATCTTGAATCTTTCGAAGGCTTTTTCTTTATAAAAAAGTTCGTCAAGATTCGCTGATTTTCCTCTGAAATTCGTTGTTCACTGTTCAATTCAATAGCACCTCGCCCCCTGATTTTCAGATCCTCTCAAATGAAGACCCTGGGCTTCTATTTATAGGCTTTTGTCGTCATATTTTCTGACAAGTTAGGTATTCTGATGTCTTCTGCAGTTGATAACAATTCAGATATGTTTGGGGGAGCTTCAAACCGATTGAAGAAGTCCTGGAACGAAAGAACTCTGCTAAAACATCGAAAAACGCGTTTTCGGGAATTTCGACCGATCTGGACAGCGAGCCTCGTGGCTTCCGTTTACCCGTCTTTTTAATTTTTCGACAATTTTCTGTTTCATCTATTCGCTTTCTCTGCAATTGTTTTCCGTTTTATGTGTGTTCGTTGATTCATCTCCTCGTGCGCGATTCGTTTCATGCGTTCCGCGAACGGTATATCGAACTTATGGTTCGCTTCATGCATTTCGTTGATTCGCAAGCGAACGTTCATCGAACGCGCGAACCTTTTAGAGCTGGTTGGCAAGCGTGTGAGCCCGTGGTCTTGTTCCGAACATTTTGTGACTTCGTTGCGTCAACGATTCATTGTTACATTGCCTTGACCTGTATTCGGGGCCGATAGGCAGTTTTTGACGCCTATATCAACTTATCGACTCTCTTCAATAGAGTGATAGGTCCTCAAAATCTTTTTCAAAACACAAGTACACAATATCGTCAAGTTAATATCACACCTCTGACAAAATCAACTTATCGACTCTCTTTAGTAGAGCGATAGATCCTCAAAATCTTGTTCAAATCACAAGTACACAAATTTGTAAAGTTAATATCACACCCCTGACAAAATTAACTTATCGACTCTCTTCAATAGAGTGATAGGTCCTCAAAATCTTGTTCAAATCGCAAGTACACGATTTCGACAAGTTAACATCACACCTGTGACAAGATTAATTTATCAATCCTTTTTAATAGGATGATAATCCCCCAAATTACTGTTATGTTAACATCACACATCTAACAGTTAAACCCCCATGAACTCTGTATTTTCAATAGAATGACAAGTGTTCATTGTCAAAACGCAAGGGTCATTCCCGCGTTCTAAACGCAAGGGTCATTCCCGCGTTCCAAATTTAAAACGCGAGGGTCAGACTCGAGTTCCAATTTCAAAACGCGAGGGTCAGACCCGCGTTCCAATTTCAAAACGTGAGGATCCTACCGGCGTCTTAAAATCAAAATGCGAGGGTCAGCCCCGCGTTCCGATTACCAAACGCAAAGGTCATCCCCGCGTCTCAAAATCAAAACACGAGGGTCAGAACCGCGTTTCACTTTTAAAACGTGAAGGCCAACCCGCATTTTGCTAATCAAAACGCAGAAGTCCACCTCCGTATTTCAGAAGCAAAAGCATGGTGCTCACCCTTGCACGGGTCTTGTGTGACAAATCCATCCAACCAAGATGCCTTCGAAACGGATGTAGGGAACAACTCCTTTACGACAAAGAATCAACAGCTCCAAGATCAAAATTGAGATCCAAAGTGTTTCAAAATTTTGTTCCAGTAAACCGCGAACTTTCGAAAACTTTGGAGGGGGTTCTGTAGGCTGTCTAAAAATTACACCAGATAGCTGATTCCCATCAAGCGCTGATTTGACGACCTTCACAATCACCAGCAAGAGTTACAACTAACAACTCTCATCATTCAAAGAGCCAATACGAAGATTACAAGATGACAATCTTCACAACGCTCTAACAGAAGAGAGTACATGTTGATGGTCTCTTCAAAGCAAAACGTGGAGCTCGTGGCCGGGTTCCAGACTCAAAACGCGGAGCTCATTGCTGCGCTCCAGATTCAAGACGCAGAGCTCACCTCTGCGTTCCAAGAACAAAACGTGAAGCTCGCCATCGTGTTTTTAGCTCCAAATGCAGAGCTCACCTCCGCGTCCCAAGTTCAAGATGCGGAGTTCATTCCAGAACGCGGATTTCGCTTTTGACTCGTTCAAACACGATCTAAACGGTTCCAAAACCGTTTTTCTTGATTTGAGAGGATCAAATCCCCATTTAGGAGCGATTATAGGGGTTAGTTACACCCCTTAAACCCTTATAAATAGTGTGTTTCACAGGTGGAAAAAGTGTGGGCAACGTGGAGGAACCTTTGGAGTGTTTTGTGAAGGTTTTTGTTGAAGCTTTGAAGCTTTTCGGCCTTGGCTTTGGAACCATTCTCGGTTGAAGAACTAAAGATCAGTTTGTTCTCTAATTCCAATTAAAAAGGATTAATTCCATTTCTTAAATCAACTCTTTTACAGAGTTTTAAACTCGTTCAGAGTTATTAAACTCGTCAGATTTCAAAACTTACATCGCAAAGTTCTTCCCGTCAAGAGGAATAAACCAAATTCCACGAAGCGAGGTGCTCGGATCGTCAACGGGATACAATATTAAAACTCTCATCGCCACCGAGAAGAACCCAGTTCTAAACATAGGGAAGGATCTCTGTCGATTCCTTCTCTCTTTTGTAAATCGAAAAACCGATAAGAGAAATTGTAATTTCTTTTCCTAAGTCAGTTAGAGAGAGATTACAATGAGAGATTGTATTCATTCTTTTCCTAAGTCAGTTAGGAAGATTAATACAAATTTTATTCTTATTTCTTCTTCAATTTTCCCACAAACACGAGATGTATGGGAGATTATCATATTGTTTGTGTAATTTGTTAAATGTTTGTGAAATTTTGGCTTGTGGAAATTTCGAATGTAGTGTGTGGATATATGCGAGATATAAGTTATGGAATGTGCAGGGAAATTGTGAAATTCGAATGTATGCGAGATGTTTGTCGAGATTTTGTGAAATTTGGATTATGAAAATTTTGAATGTCGTGTGGATTTGTATGCGAGATATTAGTTATGGAACGTACAGGGAATTTTGAATTTATGATGTTAATATGTATAGGGAATAATATATTGTTGGAGCAACTTTTTTTTGCTGATTATATACATCCTTGACGGGCATGTCGTCAAGGATGTACATCCTTGATGGTGTATCCGTCAGGGATGTATATAACATCATTGACGGGTTCCCCCATCAAGGTTCGTCATCCCTGATGGCTAACGCGTCAAGGATGTTATAAACATCCCTGACGGACAAGCCGTCAAGGATGTTCGTCCCTGACGGCCAACCCGTCAGAGATTGTGTAAGAAAACTGACGGCTTTTCCGTCAAGACGTCTATACTTGACGGCATGCCCGTCAAGAATGTGAAAACATTGCTGACAGCAGACGCCGTCAGCGATGCTTGAATTACCCTGACAGCGTCTGCATGCCCGTCAAGAATGTGAAAACATTGCTGACGGTAGACGCCGTCAGTGATGCTTGAACTACCCTAACGGCGTCTGTCAGTAATAGCTATTACTAACGGCTACACATCAGGGATATTGCTTCCCTGACAGGACTTTTGCTGACGGCTTATCCTTGACGGGCTGTCATCAAGGATATGCATCCTGACGGTATTTGTGGCATCCTTAACAAGAAAATCCGTCAATGATGCACATATTTCTACTAGTGAGGGGACCTGCGCAAATTTCTAGCTAAAAAAATAAAACAAAAATTAGCATAGGTTACAAGCTTCTGAAAAATAAGCCCATTAAGAGGTTTGAGCAACCCTTGGAGATGGTGGATATGTTACCAAACAAGTATACTATTGGAGAGGATGCACATAATTTGTCAGATGTCTCAGATTTGAGATCAAGTTTGAGGTCATGACAGCCAGAACTAGTACATTAAAGGAGGTGGTATCTTTGGTTAGGCCACATGAAGATAACCATCGCAACTGAGGAATAGAAATAAAAGCACTCAGTAATGAGGAACAGTTAACACTTCACCTTCAAATACTAGCAGAAAAACATCCAAAAATGACAGTCAAGGGCTATGCTTTGGTTATGATGAGAAATGAACAAGAGGCTGCATTCACAAAGAGAAGAAATTGAAGCCTGTAGCTGGTTAAGAATCAATTCATAACCTCATTAATTCAAAAATCAAGCTGTCATTATGTTAATTGGTTCAAAATCAACTAACTTCATTAATCCGAAACTAGACAGGAAAATACTAATCACTAATACTATGATGGAGTTCATAGAGAAAGACAGTGTTTTACTCTAGAAAGACCCAAATTGGTGGCATGATAAAGACACAACAAACGTTTATGAGGCAATAAGGTGAAGGATTCCTAATGCAATTATATGCTATGAAGTTAAATGATGCACTTGTCTCTCTATCTTTTGAAGAAAATAAAGATGTTTTAAAGAACATACTCAGATACTACCAAGCAAGAGTTTGATCATAGATACCTTTAGAAGAGGAGCTAAATCAGCACACAAAAGTAGTGGGGATACTATACACATTCACACGCGAATACACATACATATTAACACCTTTTCCTGCTTCTTAGAGATTTTCTGCCGGATATCCAACTATAGGATCAGTTCTATGCCATGCACTGGTTAAATATATTGAAATCAAATTTTGGAGATTTTCTTTTACTGTGAAATGAACTCAATCTAAAGCACGTGTATACATCAAAAATTAGAAGAAACATGATAGTATCAATATTTAATAAAATGGATAGATGTTCCTTGTCTATTTTGTTTCATGCAAAATAGTCTACACAGCCACTTCATAGAGAAAAATAAAAATAAAAATAAGGATAAAACAAAACCATGTAAAAGACAACGCCACTGGTCGATCTGAATTGGAGTATATCTGGTTTAATTTTATTTGCATTGTGCTTATGTGACGCCGCACAAATGCAGAACCTTGGAATTCACACTAAGGGACTCTACCAATCCAGGAAAAAGATAACCTTCAAATCCACGAGAACTTCGAAATCATGGAGAACTTTGAATCCGCAAAGAATTAAGAGCTACATATTATTTATAAAGAAATAATACAGCTAATTTACAATCCTCACCTTAAATAGAAACATGTAATACACTCCTAATAGTATAAAATTTACAAAATAGAAAGCATCAAAAACTGCCCTAAAATACTTCCTATGATAGAAGAAACAAATCTGTCAAATTTGAATAAATTCAAAATTGATTTTCTACCCAAAAAACTGGCTCAAAATTTATTACTAAAAATAGAAAATTTACTAGGAAGGTACTCTTGAAGGAATTTCAGGAATCTGCCGCTGTGATTGGCATTCTAGGAATGTGCCAATCTGCTTAGCTCTGTCTTGTCGTGATACATGAAAAACATATATTAAATGTCTAAAAACTCCTTCCATATTGGGAATATGACCTTTATTCGCGCTAGCTTAAGTCAACAGCTTATTTGGGGCCCACGTTTGGCTTCTAGCAGACTCAGTGCTCCATGAATTCGTTCGCGACTTGTACTACATCATAATGCAAGGGTTTAAATTGATTTTCAGAATAAGGATTCACTATGTAAGTTTATTGCTAAGCCCTTGGTAGTATTATGGTGTGGAAAAACAGTATCCTCCCTGTGTGTTGCACGTGTGTGGGGTTTTCGAGTTTAATTTGTTCTTAAGGCTACTGGGTATCATGTATCTGGCAAAAACAAATTTCGAACATACGGGAATTGAAGGAAAAAAAAAACCTAACTGAAACGTTCGTATTTGTTCTTGCTCATTTTCACGGGCTACACAAATGGCTAAAACAGTTGCTGATGCACTAGGCATCCCATTTGAAAGCCCTCAGTATATGGTAAGCTGCAATATCAATCTTTTCTGAATTCTTTCCAGCAAAGAAAGAGAGGATGGACAGTGGATCGTGTGAATAATGCTTTTATAGCAAAGAAAGAGAGGATACATACGCAGAGATATTATCAATTCTTCAAAAGCAGTATAGAACATGAAAAAGATAATTATATTCGTAACTATTCTCAATGGAAGGATGAAGGACAAGACAACATGACACTAGAATAATCAATAATATAATAATAAAAAGTTTACATGCACATGCATCCTGCACCTATAAGTTTAGATAAGTATTTCCACTAATATAAGACATAAAAGTGATACACATATGGTAAAATGTTCTCCTAAATTATTATGACTTTACAATTTTGAACTTTAATTCTTGTCTCCTCAACTTTCTACAGGGTAGTTAAACGTACCTAAATTGGCACGAGGCAATATTTTGATAACCTTTTCTAACTAGTCTATTTTATACAAGTGAAACTGAATAAACATACCAAAGATCTGATGTGGATAAAAATGTGCATAAGAAGTGTAGAGTGTGTCCAAGAAGTATCCAACATGTATACTAAGTTTACACATAACATATATAATTAATGAAATGATTCCAACATGGGTATACTAAGTTATAACATATAACATATCAATTTAATGACATGTGGAGAAGTGTCCAAGATGTACCTGAGGAATGTGTAAGAAAGTGTTGGTGTCTGACCCGGACACAATTTCATAAATGGAAACACTCATGCTTCATAGGTTCTCGCCTTTGTGTACATGAATTTAGTTGCTTCATTATATTTCTCAACTTTTTTTAAAAAATTTATAAATTTGGTTTGCTTCATTATATTTCTCACATTGGGTTCAAAATGGCAAGGAAGGTGATCCCCTTTAGCCTACATAACCCTCTCAGTTCTCCAGTACTCCAAATATCCTACTGAATTAATTTAAAGATGCGAGAATCATAGAAATCCTATTTATGCTATATATTTTGTTGTTAAACTCCTTTGGATGCATCCTGTGAAGTAAGCATGGAATATATAATATAAATGTGCATTCATAGTTTATTTCTACTCCAATGGTATTTTGTGATTCAGTCTGGGAAGCAACGGAGGATATTCTCCAAAATATTAAAGCCTGACTCTCAATCTTCAGACTTTGTGAGTCCTAGGTTAGCATAAGTATGGAGCTTGATCACTCTATTAAGCAAACACATAAAGAAATTACTTCAATGTAACTGTAGACAACAGAAGGGTGAAGAAACTAGCCCTCTTGCCATCAATACTAAGTTGAAATCATCAAGGTCATTTGTCAATTTCTTAAAATAGAGGATTGAATGCCCTCTTTTGAGATACCAGATATCATATATAGGTAGAGGATTGAATGCCCTCTTTCCACTTTCCAGATATCATAAGTAACATCTCTTCATTACTACTAAATTGAAGGAGGCATAATCTCAAGGGTTAATTGCAGAAAGACCCACTCTGCTATCGCCCAATTGCAGAATGACCCCCCATATTTACATCGTTGCAGATAAACCCCTTGAGTGGAATTTTGACTCTTTAGCCCTAAGAGGAAGATAAAAATGTTATTTGAATAATAGAATTCCTGAGGGTAAAACAGTCAAAAAATTAACTACATCTATTCGCAATTGGGCTATAGTACAGGTGGTCTATCTGCAACAGCTGAATCACAGGGGTCTAACAGCAATTGGGTAATAGCACAGGGGGTTAATTTGCAATTAGCGCTAATTTCAAACCAAATAGCTCCATTCCTTATTTCAGTCATCTCAGGTTGGAAAGTTACCTCCCAGAGGCACAACCTAGCAGAAGCTCATCTAAGCATTCTTTAATTAATTATCTGGTTATTAATAATTTCTTGAGCATAAATAACCACAAAGATTCTTCTCTGATTGTATGTATCTTCATGATCCCATTCAACTGCACACCACAAACACATCACAGAAGCATCACCAAGAATCTATCCATATAAACCTCATATTACAACTAGTTGAAATTAAATGCATGAACACCAATCTCTAATAACCTAAAATTTCCAATTAAAAGAAAAATTAGCATTAATTTCATTTTATTCCCAAATCTAGAATGAGTTTTTTCTTTTTTGGGATTATAGTGGGTATGCAAGCAGGATTGCGGTGATCGCATTCTTGCAAAGAGGCTTTAGTAGAACCTCTTACATGAGATTATATCAATAAATTTAGATGTAATAATAAATGATCTGGGTATTTGAGCACTGAAATTTTATTCTAAATTTCCAACAAGAAAATTTGAATTATCTTTTAATAACTAGGTCTTCATATTCTGCATGTTACATGAATCCTCGTAGAAATGTTACCTGAATCCTTGTAGACACATAGTTCTGATAACATAGATAGTTTGGGCTTTGAGGTAAGTCCAATTCCTATCTTTCCAAATTGGGACGAAACTTCCATAGAAAACTGCCTGTGATGGCTATTGAGCATTCTTTTAACATAAAATAGTTCTATAATGAATAAAAACTTTCCAACATGGGAATTCACAAATGTAGCTAGTGTTAAATAAATTTTGCATGTCATTTTGTACATATTAATTTTTGTTGTTTTCCCACTGGTACTAAATACAAATTAATTCATCTTTATCTGTCTTGCTTTTATTATCTAGAATTTTATTGTTTCATAATCTAGTTCTACTTCCTATATCCGCAAGCAATCTGACAATTCTGACATTGGTACAAATTTAATATGCTGACCTGTTCATATTTGTAAAGTATTTGTTAATGCCTTATCCTATACACAGAATGAGGTCGAAGAGTATCATAAGGCTTAAGACATTCCTAAATGAGACCAAGCTTAATAAAATTGTGGTTCTGGGGTCAAAGTCATTTGTCTTAGATCATACCAAGACTAATATATGAAGCTTAAACTTCTTTGTTAGATGTTACTCAATGCTGCACTGGAGCAGGGCAATTCTTATGAGGGTCATATTTCATCGAGAATAAAAAGAGTTATCATCCATTTTAGCCTTATCTAAGCATCACAAGTTTGCATTCAAGAACACAGAGCTCCGCCAGAAACATATAGCTGCATTCAATCACATAAGAAACATTTCATGTTTTTCGAACTAATTTGTAGCTTCAAAGAGCTTTCGAGGCCATAGTGTTTATTATTAGCAAGATCTATATGGTCAGTTCCCTAATAAACGGTTAAGATGTTGAATTTGATTGTTCTTTCTGCTCTTTGGTTCACATGTATGAGAAATTGGGTCTTGAAGTTCATGATATGAACATAGACTCCGCTGATCCACTTAAGGTGGGTGGGAAAGTGGCGGTTTTTCAAATAAACAATTAAGTCAATTGAGGATCTTCCTTTGGATTTCTTACCGCAAACTATTTTTCAAGCCTCTCATGTTAATTTCCACAATGGTTTACCTTTTGGGTGGCAACAACGGTGGATTTACTAATTAATGTATTTCAAATTTTGAAACAGATTCTCCTTAAAGACAAAAAGAAAAGTTAATACCCAACCTCCATTTTTTGTCAAGAAAGGCCACGCGTGTGAATAAAGATAGCAGCTCTGCCACCTTTTGCCTTAGCTTTCCGTGAATAAGAACCCATGCGCCTCGTTCACTCCGACCATCTGACAACAACTCTCCTCTCTATCCTTAATCTCCATCTTTATACATTCCCTTTTTCTTCCCCTTTTTCCTACCTCTTGATCTAAACTATGGATATCCCAATCTCGCTTCAATCTTCAATCAACAATGCTCCAAACCAAATCGGGGGTGATTTTTATCAATTTGCTCCAGAGCAACAAGATCACAACTTACTTCCCCTTCCACCTAACATCGACATGGGCTCTGGATTTTCGATAAATCATCCTAACTTGTTTGATTTATCTAACTCTTTTGCAGATCTGATGGAAACTCAAAGGCGTGAGATGGAGCAATATCTTAAGTTACAGGTATTTTTTCAATTTTTTCTTTCCTTATTGATTTTTTAATTAATTTCTTAACAACTATAACATTGTTTCTAAAATAGAATGATTGGATAAGAGTGGGTCTCTTACAACAGAACAGGCAACATATGACATCTTTAGCGAGGGTTTTTGAATATAAGATGGCGATCTTGTTGAAACAAAAAGAGCTGGAGCTAAATATGTTAAAAAATCAGATCGCTGCACTAAAAGAGTGTTTCATAAGGGAAATGGAGGAGAAGGAGGTCTGGAAAAGAGCTGCAATGGAAAAAGAAGAGACGGTAATTTCTCTACGCGAACAAATGCAAAAGCAGCAAAACATAAACATTTCTTCGGGTCATGGAATAAATGAAGAAGCTGTTGGTCCTTCTCTCTGTGCTTTACAAGGTGAAAAAAAAGGAAAAACAAAGGAAGGATGGAATTGGGGTTTTCCCCCTTGCAAGTCTTGTGGTTCTTGTTGTTCGTGTATGCTTTTCATGCCATGCCGACATATTTGTTCATGCAAGAACTGTGCAGACTTTCTCAATGCATGCCCAATTTGTGGCGATGAGAAGATTGATAGCATCGAAGTCTGCTTAGAATAAGATGGTCTAGGATGATAAATGTTTTAAGTGATATTTATAGTGTTATGTTTCTGTTGATAAATGTTGCAAGTGATGTTTATAGTGTTATGTTTCTGTCTGTAAGTTGTAATATGTATTATGAATAAAGTATCTCTAGTCTTTAGGGTGGAACGATAAAGGTTTGTAGTGAAGTTTATAATGTTATGTTTCTGTCTATAAGTTTTGTAAAGTCTATGTATTATGAAAAAATATCTTTCGTCTTAAGGGTGTACCATATACTGTGAATATTTTCTCTTTTGCCACTCCGTATTGTATGCAGAAATTCCTTTTCTCTTTGCATTGAAAACAAAGGAATATTTTTTGTCCTCTTTATAAATACCTATGACACATGGCTAATTGCATGTTGCAAGGGGTTAAGAGAATATGTTGCTTGAAATGTGAGAAACACACAAAAGATCAGTATTAAAGCATTTTTATGGCACTTAAAGTAGCGGGAAAGAAACTATACAAATCTATTCCTTTATACAAAAGGGAGAACCAGAGAGTTACTGTTCATGCTACAGCAATGCTACAGTAGATTTACTGTAGCATTATCACTGTAGCAGATAATTAATTAAAAATTACTGTAGTGCACGGGTATACTGTAGCGTTTAAAAGGAACTGTAGCAGAGCAGGATACTGTGGCATTCCCAGAAAATTCAAAACAGGAGATGTTAAAAAGACGGGATTACTGTAGCAAAAACCCGTGCTTTGCACGGACAGCAGACTAGTAACTAGCAGTGATATGAATAGAAGTTAAAGTTAATACTTAATTATAAGTTATAACAAAAAACATTAAATTTTCTTCTTCACAAAATGACTTTTCAAAGGGTGGCTCAGTGCACGAGGCTCTCACCATTGTGGACTCCGCGGAGGGTTAGATATACGTAGTCTTAGCCATGTTTTGTTGAGAGACTGTTTCCGAGATTTGAACACGTGATCTCTAGGTCACAATGCAGCAACCTTTACCGTTGTGCCAAGGCTCACCCTCCTCGAAATGACTTTTCATAGCCTGAAAATCAATAGGAAAAGGGATTTTATTATGGAGCACAAATCAGCAAAGATTTTGTTTGAAACTGAGAATCCGAAACATTTTTAGTCAATTGGGTCGATTCAAGCTCTCCAATATAAACCTGACCCAAGAACTCCACTAAATTCGTTCCCTTTACATATTATCATTGGTCACATCCATAGTAATAATGTGCCAAGGCTAGTCCATCAGCCCAACTTTTTGAAATGGCTTACCCTTTCATAATTTAGCCAACAATAAAGCTCAGAGTTTTAAGTCTTTCTAATTTGGACTTCTAACTTTATATCATCTCAGATCTTAGCTATTTTTAAATTATCTTCCAGATCATGATAAATGCTAAATTTACCTCTTAAACTATAGTCAAACAAAATTTCACCAGTATAAACAATTTATCCTTCGATATGCAGAAGACAGACTCCACTTAAGCCTTTTCTAACTCTTATTCTTCCCTTGGCTCTCTCAGCTTCTCTTCCAGCTTGGCTTCTAAAATCTATGAAGTCAGAAGCATAATTTCGTGTGGGTTCCACCAAGCAGATATTTCATCCAAAAGAACATTTCTCAATATATTCATTGAAAAAAGAAACAATCCTTGACGTATAGCATTTTCCAAGTGTGGGATCATGACATCTACATCCTTGTTGATTACATCATGCCCCCCACTAAGATGTGCCAAATCACCATGTTGTCACAGTTGTCGAATGATGATTATGTGCGATTATATAACACATACAACAAAAAACTTGAAAACGACTTACAATTTGGCTTAATATTCTAGAGCTTCTGCAATGGTGAGCAGAATCTAAATCACAGCTGTGGTAGATCTCTTGTTTTTTTACCACATGTGCTGAAGTTCTCATGCACTCTACCAGAAGCACTCTGACATGTTTCTCTACATACCTTTCCTAAGTTTCAATTCTTCTTTTAGAGATCCCATGCTAGAGTAGATTTATAAATATCTTTGGATTTTCGGCTCTTGAAGATAGTCATAGAACTACTCATAAGGTAATTCTTATTGTCTTTTCACAGACACCAGATCCTCTGGGTCACTTCCGTATGCCCATAGGTTAATCGTCTCAATATTCTAAGTGTTATCATCTATGTATGCCTTGTCAATAGACATCATGTAGACGGTTTCCAACTTTGTCATTTGCCTTGACATCTTTTGCCACTAATAGATGCCAAAAAATCAAATTCCAAGTTATGGGGTTGCTCAATTTTCTTCCTTTACGTTGAATGTCTCCTCTGAGAGGAAATTAACGGTCATGAATTTTATGTCTCAGTGGCCTATTTTGTTTATTTTATGCATGAATGGAACTCATCAGTTGTGTAATCTTAAGCTTAGTTTGTCATGATGACCTAGTAACTGCAACTTATGTAAGTGTCCATAATCTTAAGGTTAATTTGTCATGATGACCTAGTAACTGCAACTTATATAAATGTCCACTTCAAAATAAGAGAAAGGCAGTTGACAGGAAATACAGTCCAGATAACAGATATCATGAATGAAATTATATCACAAATAATGGCATGCATACATGATCTGATTAAATGTGAAATATCTTACAGTTGTACCACCTGAGAACAAAGCATTCTATGCAAAATAAGGGGACAATAAAAGTACCAAGACAGACCTTGATTACTGTCAGTAGATGAGAACAATGGAGAATACGTTGCCTGCGCTTTCCTTTCCTTCTTCTCTAGAAACTGATCTAGTTGGAACACGGCCAAGTGGGATTTGAACCTAGGTCGTTCTAATATCATCTTCAAAGTCCCTTCAAAGTTCAACCACACCAATACTCCGAAATGATGAAGATTGAGGATTATAATTCTATTTACTAACAGTTGCAAGCAGTAAATGTCCGTCCCCTTTATCAGATACTCCGAGAATCCAGCATTCATGAGGATATTTTCCAAAGTAATCTTCTCCAATGTACCCTGCATTACAATCCATAATTAGATATTAGCATCAAAAGATCTTTTAACAGATAATGTGAACAAATCAGGAAAGAAATTGCAGAACTTTTTGCAGAAAGAAATTCCAGTTCTATAGTTATGATCCTAGTCCAGATATCTTTTAATATGCAAAACTGATGGTACTATCCTTATGGAAAATACACACCATCAAACTTAAAGAGTGTCATGTCAATGCAAGTAAAAAGACTTCGTGATGTGCTAACGTACGCACGCAGATATACTAAAATAAAAGGAATAGGTATATCATGATATGTGTTTGATGAGAACTGGTGAAGAGCAGTATTCCAATTTATAATTAACGGTGTACCAGATCAAGAAAACCATAAAGCATTGTGGACCGCATAACTTCTCGATTCAAGTCTTGATCTATAATCACACAACAATTACAACTAGTAACAGAGAGAATCTGTGGCATCAGTCACTGGTTTCTGCCTCTAATGGTGTAATACAAAATTTATTCACCCTTTTCATCATTGGTTTATATATATATATATATATAGCCCTTAAATCATGCATATTTGCAAAACTCCCCCAAAATCTTAGTATTCGCAAAACTAACCAAACCAACAACTTCGGAAAAAGATAGCCCCAAGCAATAAATCCGTAGCTTTGAGAGGTGAATTTGTTACTGTATTATGAAAATATCGAAAAAAAAATATTCAACTTATTACTCACCATATCCAAAAACGTTGATGACTTCTTTGTTTTTTTTTTTTTTTTTGGAGTGTGTGTGTGTGTTGTGAGGGGCGGGGGGGGGTTAACCAAAGTCTAATGATTTGGGGATAGTTTTGCAAATCCTGAGATCTGGGGTAAGTTCGTCAAATGCACATTATTTAAGGTCTATATATACCAAAAGCCCTTCATCCTTTAACACAAAAAATTTTGTTAGCATTATCTAACCTCACTGATCTGACCACGAGCTTCATAAACACTGCTTCACACAACCAACTTCTCTTCATCTAATCCGGGTAAAGTAACATCTTCCCTCATAAACCGAGCATACTCCTCTCCCACACTTGCTCCAGCCTGTGCCAAGAGCTCCACCACAGCAGGGAGCTTCCCATAGTACTTCTTCATCTCGTTAGTCAGGGGCCCACCGAAATGATGACCTGGCACGTGCCATACATACACAGGAGGCACCAGGGCATCGATTGTTGCCTGCTGCCAAGCATGCTGCCCATCACGCATCTGATGCTTATAAGCCTGACATATCCTTGCACGGTGCCCTTTGGGCCCCACCTGAACCTCGGGACAGTATCCACATGTTTGGACCGGATACTTCTGCATGAGCTTTAGGGCACCTGAGTGCATCTTCGACCATGCTTTCATGCCCGACTCGGCTATGTCTATATGGGAAAGGTTATGATGTTAGATTTCTTGATAGACTCTATCATATGGCCAAGGTGCAGACAACAAAAGGCAAAAATGTACCGATGCAATAAAAACTAGGGTTATTTAGGTATTAGCCCCTCAAATCTTCAATAATCCAATATTAGTCCCGGAAATGTTTGAAATTGCTCATACGTCCCTCGAATCCTAAGGGGTCTTGCAATTTGGTCCCTCAGTGACTAAAATATCCCTCAAGTAATGTTTTTTAAACACAAAGGGGTTTGGGGGAACATAAAGTTAGGGATATATGGGTTATTGAGGGACCAAATTGCAAGAACCTTAGGATTTGAGGGACTTATGTGAAATTTCAAACATTTGAGGGACTGATATGGAATTATTCAAGTTCTAAGGGACTAATATCTCAATGACCCTAAAAACTAACTGAATTTATTTGGTAGCTAATGTCAGAGAGTAATTCAGAAAGAAACAGAGCAGAAAGGTCGCCTGAGATATTAATATATCTATGATTGATATTAAGTTTGTACCAACTTCATAAATAAAGAGGAGCAGGAGAAAAAAACAAAATCATCCAGGACTAGAGAAAAAATGAACCATAATGTGTTACTTGGACACTAAAGCAAAGTCAAACAAGACCAACAAAATAAAATACTGAGGATAGCTGAATATGAAACCACATAACGATTGGTTATACATTAAGGTCCCTATGGGCTCCAAAATCGAGATAATTTGAATAAACTAGCCTTGGAAGTTCAATGTTTGAAAGTTGCTTGACATGATGATCTAAAAAAATTACAAAAAGAATCTAATCATGGTTTTCCACTTGTCTTGGAAATGTCATCTTTAAATATTGGTTTATATTTCACACATTATGGATGGTATTTCCATGTACCATTAACAATTGCACGAAATGAATCATAACTTAAGGTCACGAAAAATTTCTCCAGATTTGTTGTGCTACTTAGAATATCCCTAATAGTATACATAACGTTTTGGCCGGAGCCTTTTTCTCATATTCCATTTTCAGAGTTATGTGTGATGAGGATGTCACAAAGATAAGGTTGGGACAAATATTATAGTGAAGTTAATTAGAACTTCTGTTTGTGTAAGAAATTTCTCCCTATGAAAATTCCATGCAGGACTTAAATATGTGTGTGGATATGTCCAATACTAACAGATGCGGAAGCCTCTAAAATATACCTCAATATTTGTCAAATCAAATAAGTTATTCCTCGTTTGGGCAAAGAAAACTATCTATAAATCAATTTTCACATATGCAACTGAAGGCCTCGTAGAAATTACTTAGCACAGAAAGAAACGGTATAAAACTAATAGTATGTCAGAACAAAAAGATGCAGCATCAGGGCAGGAGTGAAGCTTCAGTGGAGATATTACTGTACTGCATGGCATTGGCAAATGAAACACAAAGAAAACCTTTCATTATGCTACTGTCAAGTGAAAATATGTGGCGAAGTAGCAGATGAGAGTCCAGGTGTCTGAGAGAAGTTATGAGATTGGCCTCATCTAGCAGTCTCGATGAAAAAGAAAATGAGTCACAATATCATCCTCTACATTTTTAGACCTATAAATAAACCAAATTTAGGAACCATGATAGCAATTATCATAAATATTAATATACTTTCCCTGACCTGACTATGAATACAGCTATATCAACCATGATATAACTTCTTGAATTATGCAACGCGGTAAAGATAATTTGAGATACCAAAAATTTGAGATAGCAAACCTTGAATGCTTCCACCAGATGATAATGATTCAGAGCTGCAATCCTCAGAGGTTTTCTTCTTCGCCCAAAATCCATATGGTTGAATATCTTTTCCACTTGAGTAATCACGTGGGAACTTCCGCTCAAAATCTATCATCTTTCCAGCAATATTATAAACAGGATGCACCCGTCTCTTCGTTGGATACTCAGGAATATCTACACCGGCTTGTATACATAACTCCATGATTGCCGGGATTCTATCGACTAAGAGTTGTTCTTCATGAGAAACTGCTCTCCCCAATCTATCATAGAGATGAAATGAATTCACTACAGGAAGAATATGATCAATTCCTCCTCCTCCTCCCCAATTGTGCTCCTTTGTCTGAAGACTCACAGCAACATCACAAGTACGAATTTTATGAGGATAATTTCCAATATGAACTTCTCCACATACTCTGCATTAGAACCAACAACCAAAATATCAACGTCGCAAGAAAATTTAACTGATTAACCTACCCAAAATAGAAAGGATTTTTCTATTTGGCCCAAGTCCTCATGCTGCACAAAGCAAACATGATCCATGCCAATAACAAATCAATACCATTATTATTCTTGACTAGCAACATGTTAGTCTTTACTAAAAAAGAAATTCTGAGGAGTTTCTTACTTACTATCTATCTGAATAAAAATTTGAACATATACATATACATAAATAATTAATGAGATTAATGGTCATACGCAAATGATAAGCACAAATGATCATATTTTAGATGGCATAAAAATTTATTCTAGATATGTTAATCCATATCCAAATCAACATTTCTTACATCAATCAATTATACAAAAACTACTTCACAAAACTATAAACTTCAAAATAAAATACAACAAAACTAACCCAACCAACAAATGAACAACAATTTTACCTGCAAACATGAACCGGGATGCTCTCCAAAACCACCGAAACGCATCGATAAAGATCCTTCCTCGCATCGAACACCTGGTGTGCAACCGGTACCAAGCTCTTCACAAGCAGCCCATTCTCGGGCGGCTTAAGCACGAACTCTCGAACTTCTTTCCTCTCTTTTCTCCTTTGTCTCCCTCTCCTCTTGAGCTCGTTAATGCTTGTTACCAATGGCTTTCTCTCGGGACTCTTTGGGCTCCTTGGGAGCTCAGATAACCCACTAGAATTTGAAATTGAAGCAATGGCTCTAACTATACTGTTAGTTGAGAAGTTCTTTAAGTGTTTGTTATGGGTTTTTATCAAAATTTGGGTTGATCCCTTCAGCATTGTACCTGCTAGAGGAAGGGGACAAAATCAATAACTGCATCAGTCAACAGAGAAATTTGTTGGGTTTCGTGATTTACCTTCAGAATTGTATTGACAATTGTTGAAGGCCCCTTAAACTATTCAAAAAAATACTTTGGGATTTGATTCAGAGAATGAACCATTCAAGAGAGTTGAGGAAGACTAGGGTAGAGAAAAGAATGCCGATGTCAGGTGACGGGAACGGGCACCCGACCCGAACCCGAAAGCATTAAATCTCGTGTTTTTAAGATCCTAGTCCCTTACATCTTCAATAATTGCATTTTCGTACCTAAACTCTTGAAAAGTATATATTGGTCCTTTAAATCTTCAATAATTGCATATTAGTCCTTCAAATCCTATAGGGACTTGCAACATGGTCCCTCTATTAACATTTTAGCTTAAAAAAGACCTAAATTGACTGGGTTAACTCCTAATCCAAAACCTACAGTCACAAAACTACTCTTTTCTCCGATGTTTTCAACCCTTTGTAATGATCAACTTTGGGTTAGGTTTTTTAGCTAATCATTAGAGAAGAAGAATTCAGGTAAGTTTGAGTTTATTTTACGTGTATTGGATATAAACTGATCAAGAATGGGATTGTCGCTTTGTCTCTAATTATTAGATTTGACAGAATAATCCCCCCAAACCTAACTTGATTTAACTTGAAGGACTATTTTGGTAGACCCAAAGGATTTGAGGGAATAATATGCAATTTTAAAGATTCAAGGGGTGAATATGCAATTGTTGAAATATAAGGGACTAATATGCAATTTTTAAGAATTGAGGGACTAATATGCAATTATTGAAGATGTAAGCGACTAATATCAGTTTAGACTACTCATGAATGGATAACAACCTTATTAACCCCCCCCACCACCACCAGCAGCACTCTATCTCTTTAACATTATGGTCCTCCTTATAATGCTTTTATTGGTCCCTATCGCCCGCTTTGCCAACTACCCTGCCCCCTCACCATTCTCTTTCTCAAGCTCACTCTCTCCAATGCAACATCAATCCATTCAGAAATCAATAAAGTTTTTGAATTGAAATCCTAGCTCAAACCGTAGGATACAAAAAGACACTGTTGTTGACAAAGAATGTGAATGAGTGAAAAGTTTTTAGGGTCTTAATAGTTACAAGTTAAAATGGTGAACTGATGGGTATAGCTTTCCAAGCAACAAAAAGGCTACAGAAACAGAATATACTCCTACCATTTTAACATCACCTAACTTGAGAGGTTGATATCAATGTATGAAGTATGAAGATGATTTGGAATTGGGTGACTTGTATCAACATATGATGATTTGGGTACTAAAATCTAAATACTAAAGATGTAAGGGACTAGTATTGAAAAAACACCAATCTATAATTGGACTCTAAATTTATAATGGACTTGGATCCAATAGATCCGCAAGCGGATCACGTCGAGCTTAAATCAGAACCCGACCCGTTGTCTCCTGCCGGCGTTCCCTCACTTTCGAAGGCAAAAGGAAAAGCAAATCATTACCCACTCCCATTTCTTCTTCCTCCTCCTCCTCTGTTTTCAATGGCGAAGGGCTCTCACTCTCAAAACCTACCTGCTGACGTGGCAAACCTCGTTGACCAACTTGAGCGCCATTGCCTTGCCCCCGATGGATCCTACATGTCCAAATCCGCCTACTCCGATCTCCAACAAGTAATCAAATTCCCTCTTCAATTTTAAATTTGTTTAGGGTTTTAATTTGGGGGGTTAATTTGCAAATATAGGGTTGATTTTGGGGCATATAGGGAAGAAAACAGCTTTAAGCTTTTGGCTGATGACGATTTTGTGTGAATTGCAGGCAAGAGAGGAGATGTCGAGAGAGAGGACACGATACTTGGAAGCCATGGTACATTGTTCATCTAGGGTTTAGGAAAATAACGATTTTGGGTTTTTTTCCCTCGATGTTACTCCTCCAAATCTTTCATATATTGAAATTAATCCTCCAAATATTTAAGTATTTTGAAATCAGTCCCCCAAATCTTCATTTTTGAAATTAGTCATCCGAATGTGTTAAGTGTTTTGAATTAGTCCCTCAAATCCGTCAACCTGGTGCAAACTGGAGGGACTAATTTCAGAACACTTAAAAAGATTCAGGTGACTAATTTCAAAATGTAAAGATTTGGGGGACTAATTCAAAATACTTCAAGATTTGGGGAGCTAATTTCAAAATATGAAGAGTTTGGGGACTACCTTCAAGATATGAAGATTTGGGGGACTAATTATGAAAAAAACCCTTGATTTTTTTCTTTTACTGTTAAAATTTGTTTGTGGTTGTTTTGTATAGGCGGTTTATGCCGAGGCGATTGCAATGGTGGAAGAGTACCAGCAGGCGGTATTGAATCTTGGAGGGGTTAGAAATCAGCAGAGTCTGTACTCGCAGGGATTGAGTTGCTCCCCTCAGGTTTTGTTTATTTTATGTAATTTTACTTCTTGATTAAGTAAAGGTATAATTCAAATCAAATTATAGATAGTGTCTGTCAGCAGTTTAGCTTGAGTTGGTGTGTCCTAGACTCATAATTGATCCGTTGCTTACCTAAAGGAAATTTGCTTTTTTGGCTCATAATTGTGCCAAACTTTTAGATTTAGAAATAGAACAAGCAACAAGCCCATACCTACAACATTTTGTGCTGAGCAGTGCAAAATGTCAGCTTATGTGCATTACTCCTGCTTTACTTTTATTTTTGGCAACTTAAATAATTTTTGGGGTTAATTGCAGTTGAACACTTTTAACTTTTCTTGAGTTTTAAGTTAAAGTACCCTGAAGTTTAAATTTCCCCAAGCAATACCACAAAGTTTCACCCCTTTTAACTTTAATACAGTATGTTGCATTGCAGTTTGGCTTTCTGTGTAAAACACATTTTGTGACTATCATGTGATAATATTTGGAGTTTTATACCCCTAGACTGAAAAGAAATCCGCACGAAGCCTTTTCTTCCTCCTTCAGATATTTAACCCTAAGCACAAAGGGTATTAATCCATTTCTGAACTTTTCCAAACTCAAATGACTGAAATTTGATGTTGAAGTGTAGCAAAAACAACCATTGTTTAACAAGTTCACGGAAATTTAATGGGTATTGATGTCATTTTACTCCCCCTGATGTTAAGTCAGTGGTCAGTGGGGGTAAACTGCACATTAAAACTAATTTGGATTGGTTTTGTTTTTTGTTGGGTTTTTTTTTTTTTTTTTTTTTGGGGGGGGGTAACAAGTTCACGGAAATTTAATGGGTATTGATGTCATTTTACTCCCCCTGATGTTAAGTCAGTGGTCAGTGGGGGTAAACTGCACATTAAAACTAATTTGGATTGGTTTTGTTTTTTTTTGGTTTTTTTTTTTTTTTTTTTTGAGGGGGGGTGTGTGAATTAAATCTAAATTTAGGGTATCAAAGTCAAAAATTGATGAAACTTTAGGGTATTTAAGTGCAATTAACCCTAGTTTTAAATAATCACATCAAGAAAGAAAGTCATCAACAGTACAGCATCTACTCAGGCTATAGTGCTAATAATATTCTAGATTATTGTATATATAAATTGCATAACATTTATGTTATTTCTACTTTTTAGCTAGTACCAAAGTTCTATGTTGTTTTTCTGTCTTAAAATTAGGCGTTTGAAATGTTTCCAATTCCAGGTATATGATTCCCTGGAACATCGATTAGTTGTTGCTGAGGCAGCTCAAAGGTTGAGGCTTCCTCTTCTTTCTAAAGACGGGGAAATTCATGAGGAGGAGATTGAGAAGTGCAGTTTGATATCAAGAAGTTCTCTTGACAGCACAGCAACTAGCATTACTCCCAGCTTTAGCTCAAACTCAACAAGTTACAACAATAGCTATGCAAGTAATAGTAGTATGCTGAATGCCTCTGTTCTGTCAAATAATTCTGATATGGTTGATCCTGGAGTTGGTGGAGTTCCAAATTGTTTTCTTGGGGTGACGCCAGGTTTTTTGAGGCAAGTCCAGCAAGAGCAGTCTGCAATGACTGTGGTATGCCTTACTTTTGAAAAGCTAGATATTGATGTTTATTATCATAAAAAAGACAATAAAATAAACGTAAATAAATAAACGCTGACAAACACCCACGTCCATTGTGTGGCTCTAATTATCTAGTAGTGCTGTGGAATCTTTTAACATTGTATCAAGAAAACAATCTAGGTGTTCCAATTGCTTCTCTAAGATATATTTCCATGATTATAGGACATGATGGAGTACCAAAGGTCTCTTGTTCAGGAGATCGAATCCCGTTTAGAAGCGAAATGTGAAACATCAGCTGATATCTTCGCCATAGATGAGAATGGTATGTTAGTATTCTTATTTATCAATGCATGAGATAGATTTACAGCTAGTAATCCTTCATTATCACATTTTTTATATACTCAGAAGAATCCTCTCCAATTAGTCAGATTTCAAGTGCTCGGCTTCCAGAAAGGTGAACTCTTATCTATCTCTTATATTTATTTCCTTTCCTTTCTTTTGTATATTCCATATGAAAAATTTGCAGTTATTGCTTTTAATGCCCTTGATTAATTTCAGATATATTATCAATTTCCTTTAGTTCATTAAATATCTTTCTCTTGATCATGATACTGCCTTCTGCTTCTTGTTTCTTCTACAGTGTTTTTATTCAATACTGCCTTCTGCTTCTTGTTTCTTCTACAGTGTTTTTATTCAATACTGCCTTCTGCTTCTTGTTTCTTCTACAGTGTTTTTATTCAATACTGCCTTCTGCTTCTTGTTTCTTCTACAGTGTTTTTATTCAATACTGCCTTCTGCTTCTTGTTTCTTCTACAGTGTTTTTATTCAATAAAATCACCTCTTGTTATGATAACGATCATTTTGTTTTCAAGGATATGAAAAAAGTGTGTACATGCATCAAAATTTGCTCAAAGCAAAATACTTTGTTCGATAGACAAATAATATCCTTATGTCTGTATTTCCTTTCTCGAAATAGGTTGCAGTAAGTCCAAATAGCTGTTTGTTTCTATTTGTTTGCTGAGAGCTAGCTGACTAGGAGGTAATAATTATCAATCCAACATGCTTGTACCACTGACAGATGAGGTACACAGGAAATGATTCTTAGCCATGTCAAGTTCCCAAAGGAGAGATGAAAATGAACCATATTAGGAGAGAGACTTATGTAAGAATTCTGAAATATCTTTAATGGGTCTTCTGAACTTTCACACAAATGGAGATCACAAAAGTGAAACCAAGGGATATATGATTGTCAAATCCAGATCTGATTTGGAATTGTTCCTTCTTTTAAATCCACTTACTGAACTCAAATTTTAAAATGCAAGACGATATTATATTTGATGGCCTTCTCTGGCGAAGTTGTTCTTCCTTGCCACATCTAAACAGGCTCCAATTTTAATTAGCTATAAACATAAATTTGATATTAGTCTACGTCTCATTGTAGATTATGATGGGGCCTGGGTAGTGTTTCATCACCAGTATTTCTACTAAATGAGGCTTTTATCAACCCTTCTCTCCCTAATTTTGAACCTTTCCCAAGTTTGTTGTGGGGAAATGGCTTCATACCACAATATGGATTCTATCTAGCATTGTACTTATCACTGTTCCTCCAAAAAAAATTACAGGCTTTGTGTATTACCAAATTGTGCACATTTGTCATGTGGATATATGATGCACCAATGTTTCATAAAGCATCAGTGCTAGACCCTGTGCGCAGGCGCCTTGGCCTATGAAGTTTTTTGGAGGCGGTGGTGGCTCTGGCCTAAAAACTCATGTGCCATTTTTTTATTGCTTGAAAAACTGGAAACATGCAAAGAGAAGTAGTTTTGGCAATTTTGAGAAAACTGTTCATATGTAAGAGGATCATTGAACACTACTTACATTGATTTGAAATTTTGAACTAAGAAAAAAGCTTAATAAAGAACGTGAATCAGGAAGATAAAAATCTAGAGTACATTTAACGAAAGTGCTAAATAACTTTTTTTGTATATTTTTCAAGCTACACATTATGATCGTATATGTGTACTTGTTTCTTGCATTTGTATAGACCCTCACCCTCCAAATTAGCTTCCAAAGGAATTTTCAATTATAACTTACATGGTATACATACGAATGTACATATGTATGAATCTACGTATATATGTTTCTCACGTATCTGCTATTTTATGTCACTTAATGTATACTGCTTTATTCTTCTGCGTTGTAACTATGATTTGGCTCGTATTCACGTCTATTGATTTTTTTTTTTTAATATAAATGAATGAGTAGTTTATTTTGATAATAGCGGGTGCATGGGGCCCTAAAGAAAAGTGGTGGTGGAAAAGGTGTTGAATCTCTGACTTGTAGTTGATGGTT